TCGTCTCTGACATATTCTCTACGGGGCAAACAGAAGAATCTGCAAGAAAATTCAAATCTTATTAGGTGACTCTCCAGCTTAAAAACTTCAAAGCCTTCTCATCCTTCTCAGGATCCAGATCCCTAATCTTTACAGTCCCTTTCTCTCTTTGTTCTAGCCACACTGGCCTTAATTCAGTTTCTTAAACTCATCAAGCTCAATCTTGCCTCCAGGCATCAACACAAACCTCCTCTGACCACCGGACTAACGGCCCCTACACGAAGCCTTGCACCCCGCACACTCTTCCAGTCACGCTCATCCCTGGATTTACTTTCTTCACAGCTTGTAGTCTGCCTCTGGGAAGTTTTCCTGTGTGTTTGCATATTTTCTTTACTGGGAAAAATCCTTCAGGAGGGCAGGTACCATAAATTCCTTGCCAAATGTTCATCCTTAGTGACTAGGAGAGTGTCTGGTACTTAACAGTTGCTCAGTAAACACATCTTGGGAAGGGTTCCGGTGACCAAGAGCACACGCCGACATACGGCAGTGTGTCCACACAGTTCCTCCTTCTCTTTGACTCTCAGTGGTCCTCTCTAAATGGAGAACGTGAAGGAAGTATTGAGTTAGCTCAGTGCCTGGTCAGTTACAAACAATCAACGAAGCTTCATCATTAGGAGGAGGATGCTCGTCATCAGTGATCGTGCACATTGAAAGCTGAGCTGCCACGCATTTAAGCAGAATGAACAGCGCGGATACTATTTATAACTGCAAGGACTGTTGAGTTAGGGAGCATCTTGTGAACTGGAAGGCCATCTGGTCTGGTTGCGATTTGACTAGTGTAACCACTCAAAGGTGAGTGTGTGGGAAGAGCTGAGTGAATGTACTACAGAGTGAGAAGTACCCTGAGCTTGGAGCACTCCAGATGGACAGCACTGAGGGGAGAGACAGGAGGGGGAGCGAGGCCCGTGCACTATCCTTGGGCGGGGCCAGCACGAGGCTAGAGCTGCCAGTGCCACGCCCAAGTGGAGGGTCTAATGGTCAAAAACTATTGGGCTATTTAAAATTCTACTTGAGGTTGTTCAAACTTCTGTATTGCTTCCCCAAATCCTTAGTGAATATAAGTACTACAAATATCTCTATGCTGTTATTTGGGTAGAAATCAAAGGAGCTAAGTATTATCCACTCCAGACCCAAGGGTGTATACGGAGATTATACAACCCACGCGTCCATGCTCTGTCCTCACTCCCACAGACAGCTCCTGCTTGACTTGGGGTACACACACCCGCAAAATGCCTTGGGCACAGGATGGACCCAGCAAGGGGTCTGTGCAACCCCTAGAAAAGTACTCCAGGCCGCTCGTGTAGGAAGTTTCAGAGTCTGGTACTAGAGGATGATGCGGAAGGACGTGCAGGTTTGGGCAAATCCCCTAGGTGATTAGTTATCAACTGTCTAATGCTGAAAAGATGGTCTATTTCTTTCTGCACCGCAGAAAGCCCCAACCTGAGAGCAACATTCAAGGAAAGCACTGCGTCCAGCAGGTAGATACATTGTGTCACCACAACCACAGTGCGTGGTGAAGACTCTGTAAATGTAACAGTGCCTGGGACACAGGCGGAAACCTCCCTAGGAAGCTCATCTGTCAGTAACATTATGAGTAACATTATTTTAATGGAGAGTAATGGTTCAAAAAGTGCAGTCCACAGATGCTTGAGGGTGTCATAAATTCCTGTAAAATTCTGGGGTAGGGTGCACAGATCTATTCAGAAGGCGAAGGAGAAATGCCGGAGACTTGCCGTGGCTGGCAGTCATGCCGACTGCAGCTTGAACTTGTTACTCGGGGCTGATGTGCCAGAGCCCCTGCCAGCTTGGCTGGGGAATCGCATACTTTACTCTCATTGTCTCTGCTTCTTGGCTGACGTGTCGGGGAACCCATAGGGTGAAGGAGAGGCGGTATGGAAAGTCTCGCTAAAGGAATGGGGTCTGAGTTTCCTCTGACTGTTTGAACCTAAGTGTTCTCTGCTGAAACACCCACATATCCTGGGTCCCCATGTAAAAGGACAGAAAATGAAGACTTAGAAGACACAGATCAAAGAATGGCATCACAGTGTCACTTTCAATGACAGAAATACACACACACACAACACCAGAAAGTTTATTAGAGAACTTATTAAAATATGATTTCTCAGCGTCCCGAAAAATCCCTTTGAGGCAACTTGGCTGCCAATGGCCCCCATTTGTTAACTGAAAAGACCAAGGCTCAGAGATGACCGATGTGTTCCAAACCTGGTGGCTACTTGGAGCTGACCCTCAACCCCCAGCACCTCACCCTTCTCATCTCATGGAGCGAAGGGTTTAAGGGGGGCTTTTGTCCCCTTGATGCCATCCTGGAGGACAGTCTAAGCCACTGTTCTTTAATTGCAACTATACTTCATAAGTCAGTGTATTTGTTACAAATCTGCCATAGTTAAACAAAACTGTATTATGCTATTTATTCAACAGCCAATTCAGATCTAATGAAAACATATCAGTCTAATTACACAAGAAAGCACAGGAGGATAGCAGAACACAGAACAAAATATGACAAGCCCCAGTGAAAATTTGCATGCAGTTATCATTGTACAAATGTGCAAACTGTAAATAATTAGTGACATTTACTGCGTCACACTTGCTTGACGGAGAAGGAGAAATGGCCGGAGGGTGCTGATGTGAATGAGGACCAGCACCGTGGGGGCACCATCCATGCACTCAGCTTACAAAAACTGACCCCAAAGTGGAATTCAAACTGAGGATCCCTTTCACAAAGGAATACTCTGAACTGGGATTTCTGCAGTTGCCCATGAGGCATGCTCAATCTGTATGTCACTGAACTTGGGACCTACACGTTATTGAAAACATGGCTGTTAGAGATGGGGGCTCAGGGTGCAAGTTCAAGAGGTCAGAGATGAATCACTGCCTCTGAGCCCCACACTCCGGACACTTGTCCTTGACCTCCCAGAGACCTCCCCCCAGCCTCGGCTCCCAGCAGACATGAACTTGCAACTCTTTGTGGAATACCAGCACTGAGTAAGGGACAGTGCAGTCCCCTGCCTTTGGCCTTGAGAGCAGGCTCAGAGGTGGCCTGCAGTGGCAGGAAGCTCTGGCAAAAGAAGCGACAGGGCAGAGACACCGGGGGTGGTGGCCAGGGAGATGGCTCCGGTGGGAAGCGGCTCTGTCCCAAGGACACAGACAGTTTGAGGACGTGGGTTGGCTGTGAGTCAGGATTATCAATATCTTGAAAACTTCCAATCTCACTTCTCAAGCACAGCATTTAAAGGCACTCAAGCGACCATCTAAACTCTTAGAAACAAAATGTATCTCAGAGAAGATCCCTTAGGTCAACTGAGCACGAAAGAAAATCATCAATTTACCCTTTTTCTATCTAGGGAGGCACCCATCTCAGCTCCCAACGCTGTGCTCTTTATCTTCTTTAACTTGAATCGAATTTCTTGGGGTGACACTGGTTATAAAATTAATAGGTGTCAGGTGCACAGCACCTCATCTGTGTCCTATGTTGTGTGTTCACCACCCGATGTCGGGTCTCCTCCCGCCACCATTTCTCCCCCCTTTACCCTCCTCTCCCTCCCCGCCCCCTTTCCTCTGGTAACCACCATTCTGCTGTGTGTCTGTGAGTTGTCCTTGTCATTGTCGTTTCTGCTGAATCCCTCTGCCTTCTCACCCAGCCCCCACCCCCTGCCCCGACAGCTGTCAGCCTGTTCTCTGTGCTCCTTAAATGCCAGGGACTACCGAAGAATGCCGGGGAAATCCAAGGGGCCAGCACAGGAAAGGGACTGTTGCTCATCCTCTTACTGTCTCCCAACGGCCAATTCCGCATCTGATTCAAGTCAGTAAAATACACGACACAAAAATTGAAAATGAAGCTTCTGAGAAGGAATTTTCTTTGGACCTTTCTGTAGAATTTGAGTTTCCTTACTGCAGAAAATTCAGTGGAAGTTGCATGATCATCCGATCTTTACTCGACACACCACTGTATCGAAGCACTTAGGAAACCGAAAAATGATGTGAGATGTGGCAATTTTCCTCCAACAACTGACAGCGGTACTTTGGGGTGTTTTTAAAAGACACGGGGCCAAGATTGGAAGGCCTATTGAGTCTGAAATGCACGCTCTTATAGCCCAATAAATCTGAGACAAGCTCGCCCACCCACAGCTGTGCTCTTGGGGACTAGTTTTCTTATCCAATATTTACAGGCTGCCTCATAAGCATCAAAATTTCTCAGGTCAGACCAGGGCTATTGAAATTTCCACAATGTACCAGTTTAATTCCCACCCATGCTGTTCCAAATTTAACAGCAACACCGTACCATGTCATAGCTCAATGCCTCTGCAAGAATTATATATATATTATATATTATATATAATATATATATAGTGCTTTCATCACTATAAGATTTAAATGAACAGTACGTCACAGGACCAAAAGCATTAATATGAACCAGAGCACCATCCTTATCATAATTCATGCTTTTACACAGACACCAAATTCTCAAAAGAACAAACTTCATATAAACAGTTATCAGGAACTTGAAGGCGAATGATTTGCACATTTTCAAAAGCCTGTCCCTTGAGGCTGATGTCACAGCAACGATGCTGAAATTCTTTGTAAACTCCGCATCAGTGTGATTAATTACGCTGTTATAACGCCATATAACACATCCCTCAATGGAAATTCCTTCACTGTGCCATACCTTGCCAGTATTACAGGAGTTTCCGAGTGCTGACTCCTAACTTCATGTCATCAGGTAAATAGACACGTGTGTACACCAAAGAAGTAACAGAAATTTGAGGGGAATATTGTAAAATTAAAAATCCATGGGGAAAAATAAAATGGTGCTTCTTGAAGCAGAGAGCCCAGCCCAGGTCTCACTGACGGAGAACCAGTGAGCAGTGTCTCAAAATTGAGTAGCGCAATAATACCAATGAGCTGGAAATGAGAAGAACACTCTGTCACTCCCCGTGGCTTACCTCGTCATCTTTATACCAGGACAAGCTTTCGGCTGTGAGGACGAACCAGTACCCCTTGGAGCCCCCTTTCATGATGCCAATGTTGCTGATGGTCAGCCAGCCCTTGCGGATCACCTGCAAGAGAGCACAGGTCAAAGCGTGCTTAGTTCTACATGAGCCGACGGAGACCACAGGCCTTGCACTAAGCGAAGTTCAAAACAAGGAAGATACGAGGTGCGATAAGAATGGCACTGTTCCCCCAAAGTTCAACTTCTACTCCTCTATTCAAGGTCATTTATCTTCCAAAAGCACAAACAACCAGAGGGAAGGCTCTCCCATCAAATGAACAAAATCTAAACATCGGACGTAGGTAGGCGGCAGGAGCAGAAAGCCTGAAAGGGGGGGGAAGGAAATGGCGTGGGCCAGGCAGACTCATTTACGGCAGGGCTGCTACAACGGAAACATGTCGGTCGACGACCCAGTGCCGACGTACGTGAACAGCACCAGATTCTCGTGCCCACCGCTCTGCTCCCAGGCCAGCCCAGCAGCCCATGTGTTCGCCCACTTTGGTCTCATCAGGCTTCCCAGGAAGACTGGCCACCCGACGGTGAACAGAAAGGACTCAAGCCAACCCAGAGCAGCTCCTAGTTAGTTATCAGCTCTGAATAAGCCTGTGGGAGGGAGCTGAAATGATGAGCTAAAGTTAAAGTCTGGAGTTTTATAATGATCTGGATGCATCCATCTACTTGTGGCTGGTAACTGCGGTCCTAAAAAAATATGTAGCGCCTTCATGAAAATCTTTAAACGACTTCTAAATTTGAAAACACCAACAACTTGGATTACTGATAGAAATTACTGATAAATGTCACTTAAGTGAAAAATCTATTTTTCTCTCACAGTTGTGAAATTAAATTCTATTCTTTTGTATGGCATAGTTTATTCTCTTCTCTATGCTAGATAACTTTGGATATCAGAGAACCAGAAATGAAATCCGATATGGAATTGGATGATGTTGTTTTAAACGTCAAAAATTACGCTCTGCCTAATTTGTCCAGTACTCTAGAGCGCCTGAAGTGCTTCAACAATTACTGAACTATTGAATGACTGGGCGTCAGTTCCTAGAGGAAGACGAAGACACCGTAATAATCGCATGTGATATTGACCTTGCTCCTAGGTGTTTTAACTGAAGAAGAAAGTCAACTCTAAGGAAAACTGAGAAACAGGTCAAGGTTATCATTACAGACCCTTAAAGCCTCGCTCCACGCAATCATCCCTGCCACCTGGACTCCTCATCACTTGTCTCTCGGGTGTCCACTGTCCTTTCTAGTGCACGCTGCTTCAGTTTTGCTGACCCCACCCTGGGCCAGACTTCGGCAGTTCTCCCCACTGTTCAAAATCACTCCTTCTTCTCACCCTCTACTTCGGAAAGAAGAAAACAATGCTTCTCAAAGTAGGGTTTCTACCAGCTGTATTGTAACCACTGGGATGCTTTCTATGAACACAGATTTGTGGGTCACCTGCGAGTCCAAACGAACCAGAGTATATGAAGCCAAGGAATCTACCTCTGAACATGTTCCCTGGGTGAGTCATGTTCATACTGAAGGTTGAGAACCGCCACCTGTGCACACACAATCAAAACCTGCACTGACCTCGGACAAATGATGACTTCTGACTCTAAATAAGAAGGACCTGGGTGTGCCGTCTCACACCCACACTGCCATCCACCCTACCGGGGCTCACAAATAGCACACAAACCACAGTACCCAGTGAAAGGCTACTTATCAATAGAATTGAACACTCATGACCTATATCACTTTATTAATCAATGTCAGCCCACTGATTTCAATAAAACTTTTTTTAAAGTATATTTATTATTTCATCTTAACAGGTATCTCTGGACAGAGAAGGAGTCTTGCAGATACTTCCCACGTTGCAATAAGCAAATCGCTGTTTCGCCCACTATCAGTCTGGCTCCATCGAGGAGAGTCACGAACTGAGTTCAACACGCAGGTTTTGAGGACCAATTACAAATCCAGACAAAAACTCATGATGATGCTGCAATACCTGCCCTCAAGAATCTTTCCGTTCAGTAGGAAAAGCAGGGCCATAGAGACACGATTTCGACGAAAGCTTCGTGCAGTGAGAGAATTATGCTGGATAAACGAAGGGGCACTGGACACACTTAGGAAGCTACAACAATGGTAGTTCAAAAGAACCTGGGAGCAAAATAGAACTAGCCAAGTCAGGAAGTAGTCTGTTTGCTTATTTGTTTTTTTATAAAGAACAAACACGAGAAAATAGGAAGGAGCCGCTGAGTGCCGAAAATGTGAGGTAGACGTCAAGAGACCGAGGCCGGAGAGCCCGTGGGATCCAGGCAGAGTAGGTTCAGACCAATGGGGCCGCACACTGTCACGGCCTCACTCCTCTGCAGTCCCGAATCAATGTCAAGTACACACGTAAATTTAAATTTAGGTACATGTGAACACTGTATTAATAAATTATGTGCATCATAGGAAATGCACAAAGAAATGTAAAGACGTGACATAAAGATAAAATACGTAATATTTTCAATATTTTACATGTTGTGAGGGCAATGTATTTTGTTTGTTACATTTATAACTTTATTATTAACTCTCCCAGGATATAGAGCAAGGGTGCTGGTATCAATATGTTTATTAAACATTGATCGAGCTTTTCCTGTTTTCTCACTTCCTAGATAAAAACACATATAAGCAGATGTTTACTGGAGTCTCCTGCACGTGGGTGGATTCTGACGCTGACCCGGGACAGAGAAACTAGGTTATGTAAGGAACAACCCACACGAGAAATGACTGAGGTGTAAGTAAAGCCATGATGTAGTAAGGAAGAAAACAGATAAACCTGCTGGATAAACACCTAGGAGATAAGATCAACAGGACTGACGACTGGGTGAGGGGGGTTCACGAAGGTAAAGATTCTAGAACTGCATTCTACGGGAGCCACTCGCCATAACACTTATTGAATCTTAGTGAATAGTGTCAGTTCAGATGTGCAGCAAGAGTAAAATGCATGCTGGGTTTTGAAAAATTAGTTCAAAAAATTGTAAAATATCTCATTAAAAGTTTTAAAATTGATCATGTGACGATTAATAAGGAGAATCCTCAAGTAAACTGGAGGTGGGAGGGGCTGGAGGAGGAGGAGCTTCTACCACTCACGGCCACCAACCCAACAGGAAGAGACAAGCTCACCCTCTGCAATGGGAAGGCATTTTTTCTATGCTGCTCCAGCAGAAAGGAAGAGGCTCTTCTCCTCACCTGGTAACCATTCCACCAATGAAAGGCCGTTACAGCTCAGCCAATGAAAAGCCAGTGCACTTCAAACTCCCAGTTTCCTCCAATGGACTCTGTTTGCAGCAGCCCCTCTGAGCTCCCCTCTATAGAAGAATGTTTCGCCCCCTTGTTCTCTGGACTTGCTTGTGGTTCACCACGAGACCACATGTCTTGAATTGCAATTCTTTGCTGTTCCCACAGAAACCCATTTTGCTGGAGAATTATCTGTCTCTTTGTTTAAAGTCAACAATCACATGCTAAAATAATATCTTGAATATATTGGGTTAATAAAATCTACTTTTAACGATGATTTCCCCTGCTTCCTTTTCGTTTTAATGTGGTAACCAGAACGTTTTAAATTATGTACGTGGCTTTCTTTATGTTTTTACTGGACATTGTGCTGCTCTGGAAGATTCTGGAACTCCTGGGACCACCAACTCAGAAGGAACAGAGGAGCAGGACCATGTTTTTGAAAGGTAGGGGAGCCAATGAAGAATTTGGCCAAGGCCATGCTGAATCTGATGCACCTGTGGGAAATGCCCATAGACATGACCTGACACCTGAAGCAAACGGAGTGGTTAGGACTGGAGATGGCGACATGCATGGTGGCATCAGCACATATACAGGTGGCGGGCGCTTAAAACTGAGTGAAACAGGCTTAGGCAGAACTGCAGGGGAATACCAACATTTAAAAGGTGGTCAGCAAAGCGCAAAGGAATATCAGAGGAACAATAGCAGTGAGGTCATGGAAGTCCATGGCAAGGCGAAGTTCAAGGAGTGTGTGGCCGGGAGTGTCAGATTCGGCCTGTAACACAGACATCACAGTGTCTTTAGCTGTGCCTGTCACAGTGTGGGGGTGGGCTCAGTCAGAGTCCCTGGGGTTGAAAAGCAAAGGAAAGTAAAAAATGGGGACAATGACGACCAAGAGCTCTTTCCAGAGCAGCATGGAAGACGGTTAAAATCACAAAACTGAATAGACACAGGGCTGCTGCTTCCGTTTTTTACTTTGGGCATTTTTTATGGCAACAATTGAGCATGATTATTGCTTTAGGGAAATAGGTGGTATACAGCAAGAGGCTGGGCACACAGGAGAGACAAGACGAGGATGAAGAAGATGGGCGTGAATGAAATGAAGAGCCCAGGACGGGAGCGGCCTCATCCCATGAGGCCAGGGAAGCGAGGGCAGGTGCAGGCCCTTTGGGAGGAGGGGCAGAACGTTGGGAAGGTTATATTTGATCTTTCCAGCATTCGTGGTAAGAAAAGAAACTAGATTATCTGCAGGCGAGCGAGGGTGGGAGAAGCTGGACAGAAGGCCTGAGGACAGTGTGAAGCAATGTTACAAACGGTAACTGAAGGAGAGTCAACGAGACTGGAATCAGTAGGGAATGATTGACAGAGCACAACGCTGGAAAACTCCGGGAAGATAATGGAGGGGAAAATCCAGGGGACCTCGAGGATGGTGATGTCTTTTTAGAGAAAACACCAAAGACACACAATCCATGAAGGGAATAAATGATACGCTAGACTTCCTTAAAATTAAAAACTCCTACTCTATAAAAGACAGTAGCAACTGAATTAGATGACAAGCCACAGACCAGTGGAATGGTATTTACGAAAAAGAAAAAAAAAACCCAATCTGACAAAGAAATATTATCCAAAATTTACAACAACAACAAAAAATCCTCTTAAAACTCAATAAGAAAACAACCTGATTAAAAAATAGCCAAAGACTTTAATAGACACCTCACCAAAGAAGATACATGGGAGGAAAATAAGCACATGAAGAGGCACTCGGCATCATATGTCATCAGGGAAATGCAAATTCAA